GATGGTATCACGCTGGGGCGCCAACTGGGACCAGAGCTCTGACATGCTGGACGCTGTGCGAACCCAGCAGAAAACACAGGGTCTGACCCCAAATTCTTGCCCTCTGACAGACAAGGGGACTGTGATGGGCAGAAATACATAACAGCTTTCCATGGACAGTGTCCGGTGTCCTCCTCTGACCTGCAGTCTAACCTGTTTTATTTCCTTACAGACCTGTCAGTAGAGATGGGTTTTGATGGTGGAAGCAGGGCCTGGGACTTTGTCCCCAAGGAGGCAGGGACGTGGCATGTAACATGAAGAATTTGGTGGCAGAGAGGTTGATGGAGAGAAGACGGGAGGAGTGTAGGAGACATGGGAAGACACCTGCAGACAAGGAGGTGGAGAGAGCAGGTTGAGAAGGATTAAAAACAGCCGTGAGCAAAAATAGGAGCAACTCCCAATGTGGGCAAGCTTTGACATGAGGACGGGGAAATGTTGTCCTAGCTGGACTGGTGGAGAGGAGCCCGTGAGGGTGGGTTTATCTTCCACCAGAAAGAACGACGCAGGTTTCCTCTTGCTGCTGAAAAGTCGAGAGCCACTATCAAAACTGTCAAGGATTTCACTGTGGCAGGTACGGGGCTCTTCTTCCAGATTACAAAACAGGAAGGAAGAAAAGAGCCCAGGGTTTTAATCCTCTTGCAGCCAGAAGATGTGGTCGGCTGCTTAAGTGACATCGGGTGTCCGTGTTACACCAGTTGTCATGGCAAATAGGTTTAGGACCAAACCTAGTGATGATGGTTTTGGGTTCAGGAAGGGGGTTAACATTTAGTCCATTGATTTTGCATATTACATTTATTGGACATTAGTCCATTTATTTTGCAAGGAATGAATGGACCTTAGCCCATTTATTTTGCAAGGAATTGCACGTCCAGAGGCAATGAGAATAAAGGGAGCATTTAAAAATGAAGGTATACCGACCTCAAGGAAAAGTTCTTTCTGAGCCCATTTTTGTCCTCTTCAGGCCTGTCCATCCATCCATATTTGAAACATCTTGATAGGATGTGTACCAGATAAGAGAGGCGGAGAAGAGCTGCTTATTTTAGTGCTGAAAAACCGGTGGCAGGACCTGTCTGGTGGTGAGCCCAGCCTGGCTGGGGAAGCGAGTAAGATCTCATGATAAAGCCCTTTCATTGAATTTTGCAAGCTGTTTGCTCAAAAAAAGCACTCGTGCCACCAGGTCCTACTCATCCAAACCACTGAGCTGTCTAAAGTTTGCTCCTAAATACTTGTGACTCCATTTTTTTTTTTAGAGGCAAATTTCCGATCTTCAGTTTTGTGCTCACAATTGATTGTGAGCTGTGGTCATTTGGGTGACTTAGCAACAAACCTTTTTATACTGGGTCTGAGCAGCCTTAGTCCCTAACAGCTGCTTTGGAGGAGCATCATGTCTGAACCAAGAGAGCTAGAGTTTTGCATTTCTTTTGGAGGAATATGGCAGTAGTTTGGGAGGCAAATATGGGATAACCTGTCAACGGGTAAGGTTTCTTCAGTAGAGTTACACACGGGATCTGAAGCAGTCGGGTTTCGCTGCAGACCTCCCGCCTGATGCCAACGTAACTCAGAGTGACTTGGTTTTCCGCATCGACACCTCCCTTCTAACTCCATATAGCACCTAATTGCACCATCCTCCAGAATTGCAGATGGATAAAAGAAGATGTGATCTCGCTGAGAAATTGCCTCCTGGTCATCTCACTCCGCTCGCAGTTTAACTCCATGGTGTGTGACGGTAGGAACCATTCATAGTCTTGGACTTAGCGCGGCCATTACTTCCCTGGCAGAAGGACTCGCTCTCCGTAAGCAAGCACTAATGACACATTTTATCATGGGGAACATCAGATTCGGAGTGGTGGATTGCTCCCAAGGCATGGATTATGTCTTACAGAGCATCTCCAGTGACTGGAGTTTCAAAGCCTTCCCTTCATCCGAGAAACGCCCTGAACGGCTGCCAGTCAGCAGCTATCTAAAATGGTCTGTATGTCTAGAAACAATATGCCTTTAGGTAACGATACCAAAAAACCCCCTTGAACCATCTTTCAAAGTCTTCCAGTAATTTTAAAAATGATATTTGGAAAGCCATTGCACATCTTTTGCCAGTGATTAATCGCAGAAATGTCACTCAAACATGGGAATTGTAAAAAAGCACTCCAGGTGAAGTTTTTTTGTTGACCGTCAAATTGCTAAACCTGTTGGGCAGTGCACTAAAACAAGAGTCCAGTTAGTTGTTAGTGAATTGAGGCAAGAGTCCCAAAGAAATCCAGTATTTATGACACCGCTGACAAATGTCAGATGAAGTCACTTGGATTGATCCTTCGAGCTGCATTTTTTGCGTGAACCACAGCTATTTCTCCAAGGTCCCAGGGTTGTCTCTGGGAGCAGCTGTGACATTGCTGCACACATGTGAAATGAGCATGGAAGGTGCTTTGAAGACAGAAAAGCTGTTTTTGAAATTCTTGCAAAAGATTGTCCATATTTTGACTGATCTGTCTAACCAGCTCTCTTGTCGGTTGGAAAAAAGGAGACTGAATCTCTGTTTGTATAAAAGGTGGGTGCCGTTTTGTGACTCCGAAGTCACATCTAGATAGTGGCTATCAGCCTTCCTTGAGGTGCAAACCTAAGCTTATCAGGAAGCAATAGCTTTGTACTTCCCGGTCCCGCGTCGTGCAGAAGGACGTCAGGTCTGGGTTTTGTAGATCTTTTTGTCATGATGATTATTTAAAGAGTGCCTGCAATGTGAGATAACCTGTGTGCACAGCTATGGCGGGAAGCAGGGAGGGAACGGAGGGGGAATCAAGTTTAAAATCCAGGTGTGGTTAGGGCACAGGGCTGGGATGCACCATTTCTGCTGTTGGCCGTGCTATTTATTCACTGTGTGGTCGAGGGCAAGTTATTTGGATCACCTAGTGACTCCTTTGCCTAGCTGTAAAATGTGGATAATGTTTTGGATGGGTCAGTAATGCTATGAAAATGGTAAATAAATATGCTTGGGGGCGGGGGTAATTTTTTTTCCTGGTATTCTCCTAGCTTTCCCAGACCCCCTATGCTATTTTTGATGCCAAAGGGGAAAATGAAGGACAAACATGAAAAAAAAAAACAAGGCAGAGAAAAGGGAAAAACAGTTGAAAGTGATTTCTCTTATTAAAAATCAGAAAACGATCAAAATACATATTTAAAAGATGGCTGTTTCATCAGGAAAACATCAATGAAAACACGTCTGCTGGCTATTTTAATGAGGGGGTACATTCATTAGTGATAGCGAGGTGCTACCAAAAGCAGACTACCAAAAGGAGAGCCTCAGAAATGGATGTGGATGTGGTTGTCCGGTCCAGGAAAGAGAAGAGAAGGAGCAGCTGGGTTCATGCTGACTAGCCCAGCTTGGGAATAGGGTAGGGTGGGGTGAAGCTGGGATTGCCAGCAAGGGCAGGGAGAGAGCATGCCTCTCCAAATCCGGCTTCCTCATGGTGGAGGATGATGGTGGCGGTGGTGTGTGTCCGTGTACCGTCACCTGCCTTCCCTGGGAAGGTTTGGATTCACTCACTGGCACAGCAAGCAAAGGCTGCATGTTGCATGAACCAGGGCAGATCCGTCTTTCTCTCTTTTAAAACAAGCTGCCTTTTTCCTAGGGGGGTTCAGACATCCTGGCCCAGTCTCCACCCTTGGCTTCTAGTTCCCGTTGCAAGTCCAGATGATCCTCCCCGTTGTATTTGTAATAAGACTCTTGTCTGGTTGCCTTAACAATGTTTTCTATTATTCAATAAACCCTCTGGCCCCAATTAAAAAATTCAATTGAATCTTTTTAGTGAATTATCCTTCTTATGTGCCTGTTGATCTGTTGCATTTACTCTTTCTTAGTGTGTAAAGTGCTATGGCTCTTTAAGGAAGTTTAGGGATTTTTTTTTTAAGTCATAGATATACTGGGCTTAGTTTGGCACGGGTGTAGCAGTCCTTACAGCGATCCTGATGCCTATTGGGAGAAATCTGCAAGGTGCCTTGTTTCAAATGTCCAAAGCATTCCTGTTGGTGCTTGTTCCTAATGGAGAGGCAAGAAGGTAGAAACAAGTTGGAAATCAGGCCAGAGCAACCAAGCAGATGTGGGTGGCTCAGAAGTCCATGTGGGCGAGTGGATTGGGACTGCATGCAAAGTGGGTTGCTGTGAAGGGATTCATTTCCCACGCCTAGTCTCAAGCCGGACCCTTTCAGCCCCTAACAACTCTGAATTTTAATGGTTGATGATCTGGGGGCAGGTGGACTGGGAATCTTGCATTTCTTGCGCCTATCGGGTACCTGTCATAGCCAGGGCTGCCAGCAGTACCAAACTGGCAAGGAAAGGGATGAGGTTGTCCAGGAGGTGCTGACCTCCCTTGTCTCCAGTTGCACACTCTTCTTGGGAAATTGTGTCTGGGAACAACAAATCAGAACCGTCTCACGTCTTGGCGTGCAACCGGGACTAAAGCAGATGCTTGACATGTACCTAAGATGGAAGGAGGTCTGTTTAGGTGGCTTGTCTCCGACGAAGTTCTTGTACCATGCTAACTTGCTTGAGGTGCAAAGCAAGGGGGGTGCAGCACGGCAGCACGGCTCCACTGCTGCCCGCCCGACTTATACAATGGATTTACGAAAAATCTTACTTTTTTCGTTAAAAAATTGGGGTTGACTTATACACGGTGTCCATTTGTACACCATAAAATACGGTAGTCACACTTAAGAGCAGGATTGTAAACATTTTTCCATTTCTTTTTCTTAGCATTTGAACTTGAGATGCATTTTTTTTATCAAAATTTCAGCTTTCAAAAGCCTTCAGCATGTCTGTTGTGTGCATTTCCCCATCCTTTGTTTCACGCAAGTGAGAGCTGCAGAGACGAGAGATTCCTTTGCTAGCACTCATTTTATTCAAGGATTTCATTCTTTGGCTCTGTGATGACCTATGTCTTCATTGCTTTCTTGGCTTGTTTCTTTTTCTCCAGGGGGACATCCAGCAGCTCCTGATTGTGGCCGATCCCCGGGCAGCCTATGATTATTGTGAACACTACAGCCCAGACTGCGACACGGCTGTCCCGGACACCCCTCAGTCTCAGGACCCCAACCAGGATGAATACGTAAGTAGGAAGCTGGAAGCATGCGTGGAGGTGACTTCCAAGGGTGTGTACCCCAGGAGGGACATCTCGGGTGGATAAGGCTTCATTTGCTATAGGGTGAATTGGTAAGCCAGCAAAGAGCGGGGTCAGGGTGGAAGCAGTTGTAATCACAGTGGGAAGGGGAGCGGTTTTGGATGGCTGGTGAGGAAACCGGGAAATGCCAGCAAAAACCAGCGTAAGGAGCCCCAGTAACTATAGCAGGGGGAAATGAATTGAATAAAAGGAATAACAGAGCAGCTTTTTATCCCACAAACAATAAGCAAACATGCACGGTTGCTATGAGCCGTGATGGCACGTGCACTCTGTTTCTTAGTCCCATTTAGTTTTATTGCGAGTCTCTCCATAAGTCACCAGCTTGTCTTGGTTTTCATTTTCCTCCTGTGTTTGCAAAAGTCATTTGGATAATGAAATCAATGCAAAGGATCTCTGAGCACTCAGACTCCCTGCCAAGGAAAGCTGGGCTTTCTGGCCTATTAACCCTCATACGTTTTTGCTTTAAGAGCAGGCATCCAGTTTTATATACGACTGTTCAAACAACGTGTAAAAAGCTGAAGCCGGTATAGTACAGTCTAGTGAATCTGATACAGGTCTTGCTTTTAGAAGCTAATCCCGGTTTCACTGAGATTGCTGGTTTGCTTCGTGACTTTGGGAGTATCTCCTCACTTTTCTTTGTGCTGTGTTTTCCCAACGTCTAACATGAATAGTTGGTGCTCAGGAACCCATAGGATGCAAAGAGGAGCAGCCTTATATACCATCCCAGGTTTAAAATGGGGCCCTCACTAACTATTCTAGTTGCCTGCCATTAAATACAGACCGCTTTCTAAAAATGAGCAGATGTTTCTGCTTTTTAAGGTTTGTTTCAAAAGTTAGGAGAACTTGTTGAAGAAGCTGTAGGGTTGAGAGTAACAGAATCACTAGAAAGCATTAGAGCAAATTTTAAAAAATGCCTAGTGACTTTTGGGTGTCACAAGTGGTGCAGGCATCCTCTCTCCGTGACACTTGGCAGATCGGGGAGGGGACAGACAGCAGAGCCGCAGATCAGACAGGAGAAGGGGATCAGAGTAGTTATTTGGGGAGGGTGCAGGGCTAATTTGTGGCCTGCCTACCAAAAAGGTTCGCCGTCACTGGCCTGGACGGTCATAAAGCCTTGTTCATCTTTTTAATTTTAGCGCAGTCTGCAACATGGAAATAATAAATACGCAAAGTAAAATAGACTCCACTATGATCAACAGATGGGAGGACAGTGGGGAATTAAGCCAGGTGCCAAAAATCAAAAGCAGCCACAAAAGGCTGTCTTGTCTTAGAAGGGCTGCGATATTTTGGAAGTTCGTACAAGAATAGCTGCGCCACGAATGTGCTTGCAGTGCCAATAAAACCAATGTACCGGACAAGAAATGTGTCATGCTCAACTGCAACAAAATGCCTTGTTTCTGTTTCATTTTAAAGAGCAACTGACGCCTTATGGAAAACTGAGCACGTCGTATTTTAGAAACCCCTTCCCACTGCAGGCTGTTGATGGGTGTCAAGTCATATGTGTTCACTTTCTATTACTAGGGGCATCCTTATAAAACCCAAAATGTTGGCTCTTTAAAAGTCTGTTTCCTTCCCTATCTCAGTTGCCAAGGCATATAACAGAGAGTCCTGACTACTTTTGGGTAATAAAAAAATCTCAACATACCTTTCCCCAGGAGTGTTAACTCCTGTGTCCTAGCCAAATTCCAGTCAATCCATTCTGCTGACGCGTGGTTCGTTTTCTTTGACCTGTTCTCAGTGTTTTGTGCAGCATCAGTAGCTCTTAAAGGATTGCTTTCCAACACACATAATGAAGTAGAGCCTGCAGAAATTGCATGGGCGGGACTGGGTGATATATTTCCTTTTGTCACCTTGCAGACTTGAGTCACCCTTATTTGCAGCTTTTGCTGTTGGTTCATACTCCAAAATACTTTTGGATCCTTCCAATCAAGGCCCCAGCATCAAAGTTAACCTGTATCTCATTAAAAATATTTTAGAAGACATTCCACTAATGATAACCAAACTTAAGAAACTTTGGAGCGTGGGTGGATGCATTTAAAGAAAGAATTTGACCTTTAATAATGCAAATGAAGTTCCTTTATAAATTGCATCTCTGGAGAATCCTGTCATATTTTAGTCTGTTGAATTGTCTAAAACCATTAGTGAGGGTTGCCTGCAATGGCTGCGTGGCCTAATTCAACGTATTCAGACAGCTGGAATTAATGGAGAACTTGATTTAAGCCACAAAGGCATGCAGAAAGGTGCTGTTCATATATTTTTCACTGGCGCAAGTGGAGGATAGCTGGTGACAGAGAGCAAACCTAATACTGAAGGCAGAAGATAACTGAATGTTAGTACGAGCTAAGTTAGAGCTATGCTGCATGGGAGAACTACTGTATTTTACTGTATATAAGTTGAGGTTTGATGCCAAATTATTCATCTTTAAATTCCCTCCTCGACTTATGCACCGTGCTGGCATCCAGGGGCTTCCCCAACTAGGCTCCTGCCTCCCCCCAGCCCCTGCCCAACATCCTGGAGCCAGGCTGGGTGCCCAAACCCCATACCCGGGGACACTTCTCGGGCAGGAAGTGAGTGGGTGGGCACAGAGCGGCGCTTGTTGGTGCTTGCTGCTCCCCATGCAGCTCCGCTGCTGCCCTCCTGATTTATACATGAGATCTATGAAAAATTGTCCTTTTTTCATCAAGAAAATTGGGGTGAACTTGTACGCTGTGTTGACTTGTAAAATATGGTGTTGACTGTATGATGTCGGCCATAAAATACAGTAGTCGCACTTAAGGGAGGGATTGTAACCATTTTTCCATTTCTTTTCCTTAGCATTTGAAATGGAGGTGAATTTCTTTTTATCCAAGTTTCAGCTTTCCAAAGGCTTTAGAGTGCCTGTTGTGTTCATTTTCCCATTCTTCGTTTCACACAAGTGAGAGCAGAAGGAGGGTGTCGAACTCCACAAACTTTTCAATTGCATGTTTAAAAGATGAATTTACATCACCGCGAGATAACCGGCAAGGTGCTCGCTGAGGAGCCCCCTGCCCTCACATGATTGGGTCTTGTCTTTCCTTTGCAGTACACTGAAGGGGTGGGAGAGAGTGACACCTATTACTATGAATATCCCTACTACGAGGACCTTGACGACACGGGGAAAACAGAGCCACCCACTGCCAAGCCTGTTGATGCTGGAGAAGTGACTGAAACCAAAGAGGTAGGGAGCTGGGAGAGGTGACAGATACCCATTTTGGTACAGCTGTTTGACATCAGAACAGCTTGTTCTCAAATATTTTTACAGGTAAATACATGTGGTTAGGAAAAATCCCCTGGAGACTTAAATTGCAAAAAAAAAGAATAAAAAAAGGCTGTAGGTAGCTCTGTATTTGTGCTTGGTGTATGCAGGTCTTTGCAGTTATATAGTGCCTAAACTTCAATCTAAATAAGGATGGATAGAAAAGGGCAGCAGTTTGAAGCTTTCTCTGCCCTGGTCTAGGGGACCTTTGGCTGTGATCCAGTCTGTTCATGTAAACCATGGTCTGCATCTGATAATGAACATTTTACATAAGTACTTTCATTTCTACCCAGGAAAGCATTTACAATCTTTTCCCCTATACCTGAAGAAGAGTGCTTGTGCCCAAAAGCTTGAAATTAAAGATTTTTTTTTCCCCCAAAATCTCATTTGTCTAATAAAAGATATGACCTCAACCGTGAGTTCTGATTCCAGTGTTACATCAAGGAAGATATATTTTATCTTGGAAAGTTATTCTCTGTGCATTAGTTCACTTCCATGATGAAGTCTTCTCCAGGCCTTTTCCTTTTGTACAGTTTGACCCCTGGGATTTAAAGACTCATTTTTCAGAAGCCTCTGTTTAACTCAGCGGTCTCTGCTTTTAGATGGCTTGTGCCTGATAACCAGGGATCCTGGTTTTCTCTGATTTAAAAAACAATCCCCAATTTCAGATAACAAAAAAAGTAACCCCAAATCCACATTTTTCCTTGAATTAAAATGAAACACCACTATCTATATCTATATCTATATCTATATCTATATCTATATCTTAGCGGCATTTCATTTTAATCAAGGAAAAATGTCGATTTGCGGTTACTTTTTTAAATCTGGAAATTGGGGATATTTTTAGACTGGAGAAAACCAGGATCCCTGCTGAAAACATGGGGGTGCTGACAGTGTGGCTTGAAGTATTTGGCAGCCCTGGAAATCCACCTTGAACTTTTTGAGCTGGATACCCCAAAGGAGCAGCTACCTCTGCTCATGTACTTCTGTGTCCGGTTTATTACTCTCTGATTAGCAGCTGCCTGCACAAATGTTATGCGTCAAACAGAAAGAGAAGATGTCTTAGAGCAATTCAAGGTTAAGCATTATTGGGAGAGAAAGCCAGAACATTATCTAGTTTCATTCACTCTTGTTGTGTTTTCTTTTTTTTTTTTTTAGGATCCCACCCCTGCTCCCACTCAAGCACCTGCAGTGGTGGAAAATCCCGAGGAGACTAAAGAGGATGAGATAGTGGATGATCCCATTGTGGATGAGTACAACTATGGCACCATTATTGAGGACTACACTCCTCTTCCATACGAGGACATCAACTACAATGAGGAACTAGACAACCTAGACAATCCAGATCTCATCACTGAAGATGCTGTTGAAGTAGAAGTTCCCGCCAGCACTGTCGTCACCTACAACACAACCGATGTAATTTCCAGGAAGGAGTCTATGATTGGTCTTTTTCCTGTATTGATTTATCCCATGTGGCAAATCTTAAAGGGTCCAAGACACCCATGGGACTAGAGAAGTCCCTGGAAAATGTAATCAACCCACAGTGCAGCCACTGATACTTAGAAGTAGTTAATAATTTAAAGGTTTCCAATCAGAAAAAAACCTATTTTTAGCCAGAATTTGACTATTTTTTAGGTCTCTTTTTTCCCTTGAATAATATGGTAAAATCTAAAGTGAATTTTCTGCAGAAATTAGACAAGCAGCATTCCCTCTAAGCTGCATGGCATGCGCAGCTGTGCATTCGCACTCATGCTGCACTGCCAGGCACGCCTGCGTGGCCACGCATGCCACGCAGATTAGGGGAAATGCAGATGAGGAGATGTAGGAGTAGAAAATGTTGATTTAATAGAAAATATTTGTGTTGTTTTTATTTTGACGTTTCCAACTGAAAATTCTTTAGGGGATTTTTCATTCCTACCAAATGTTTTACTGTTTCCGCTTTATCTTCAGATTTGTCAAGGAGGCAAATGTTAAAACAGCAGAATTTCTCATAGGACAAACATTCAATTTTCCAAGCAGCTCTATTAAGAGTTAGGCTGACACTCAGGCCCGTAGTGCATGTTCATTTCAAGGCACCATGGGATCTGATCCATGATTACAAAAGGTGCGATTTTGGGATCGGAGATCAGATCCCAGTCATGCCCTTAGTAACTACCAGGGCATGGGGAACCTGGGATTGTGATCCTGGGCTGTTCTGCACCAGCAAGCTGAAAGCTGGGTGCCCACAGTCTGGCATGACCTGAGGCTTTTCAGGACCAACAATCAGCTGATTGTCAGCATCAGCCCCAGGGTAGCCAAGCACATGCCAGACATTCAATTTAAGGTACCAGCCATAAAAGCGTTCTACATGATATGTTGCACATTATGGCTGGTTTGCCATTTTATGGCGCCCTGACTTGGGTGTACATGCAGTGTCCTTGCCAGTTATACCATGATTAATATGTTAATTGTAGCATGAATATAACAGGTGGAGGGGCCATCAGACTGCCACAATTAATGTCCTGTGGAGTAATGACATTCTCTGGTGGTCCTCACCCTGTACATTTGCAATGAAATGTATTGCATTTTCTATGTGCTAGTTAATATTCAAGCTGGTCAGTCTCTTTAATTCACAATTTCAGCTTCTCATTGCTTTTGGCCTGTTTCTTACCGGTGTGAGGGAAAGTTGTACATCATTCATGGAAATAAATTGGTGGTGAGGAGCAGAGCTGGTATTTCAGTGATGAAACATGCACAGACCTGCTTTGAGAGAAAATCAAGGGGCATTTTTACATGTGCTCTGGGAGGCATTGGTGGGGGGGGGGGCTTCAATTAACGAGCTGTGCTAATGAAAAGTGCCTGAGTGTCACAGGTATCAGCCTCCCTGTGCTGAGAAATGGTGGTGGGGCGCTTTCAACTAAAGCTCATTGAACGAGCATTAATTTGAAGCACCCTGCCACCATTTTTCAGTATGAGGATGCTGATACACATAACACTAGAATCTGCTGGAGTGTGGTAATATCTGTGCACCCACAGATTCGATTAATCGGGCTCTCTGCACGTGTAGAGGAGCCCAAGGACAATATCTAGAG